CGTATGAGCCCCTGATAAAATGATTAAAAAAAAAAAAGAAAATGAGTGCTTCATCTAATGTACACGTAAGTCTCCACCCAAAGATGAAATTCACCAGAATTTCCTAACCACAGAAAGTAACCATTTCCTGACCACACTGAATTAAAAGGTGTTGGGGCCCCAGTCACTGTTTTAGGGCAAACTTCAAGAAGCCACCTCCCCAGTGAGGACCCGAGGGCCGCAGGGCACAGGGGTCCTCCCACCCCACCCAGCACCCCTCTGCAGACATACTGAATACCGGCAGTTCCCCCGCCAGACAGACTCGATCCATTTTACCTTGGGTGTTTTGGAAATAATGTCGCCACAAAGGTCGGATCTTGTCCTGGCCGCCAACGTCCCAGACTGTGAAGCTAATGTTTTTATATTCTACCGTCTCCACGTTGAAGCCTAGTGTGGGAAGATGAGGAACATGTTTCGTCAGGGCTTCTCTGGTTGGACGATTCAAAATGATTTTGCTAGTACTTTTCAGTTCCAACTGTGCTTCTAAGAACACGATCCTGTAAAACAGAATGTTAGCCTGCTCTTTCAGTCAGCACCAGGATCTCAAACTTCCCCCTCTCCAATCTTCAGCCATCCCTTACTCTCACAAGCAGAACTTACGGCTTACTGCTAAGCTTACAGACACCTTCTGAAAGGGCAATCCCACTCCCACCACCATGGAGCAAGCTCCTACCCCTACACCCAGCCTCCATCATGGGACAATGGAAGGGGCATCTACCTAAGGCCACCCACTCCCTCCCCCTATGGACCGTGTCCAAACCACGCGCGTCTGGAACCTCGTACGCTGCTAGTGCCGTCACCAGCCTGGGTAACGAAAACTTGCGCTTCTCCAGCTCCTCCTTGACGCCACATCCTCACTGCTACCGCCATCTATGTGCCCCGGGGCAGCAACGGATCACGGATGTTCCAAGAGCGTCTTCGTTGGTGAGAGATGCCGTGGGAGGGTAAGACATCCCCCCTTCGGGCAACGCTGCTCAACCTTCCCCCTGCCGCCACCCTTTCATACCGTTCCTCATGTGGTGGTGAACCCCAACCATCAAGTTATTTTCGTTGCTACTTCATCACTGTCATTTTGCTACTGTGATGAATCAGGCACCACCCCTGTGAAAGGGTCATTCAACACCCAAAAGGGTCTCAACCCCAGGTTGAGAACCGCTGCCTCAGGGCATGGCAGCTCAGGACTGGGAATCCTCCCCCAGACCTTGTTCTGCCTCCTCCTCTGTAACCTTGTGGTTGAACACAATCTGCAGACTGAAGACCAGTATTGAGTTCTAGTGAAAGGGGCGCTGGGAGCCAGTAGGTACAAGTGAGGGTGCTGTATGAACTCTTGAGCTTGCGGCTGGCGTCCAGAAGTGGCAGTGGGAGCCGGTCCAGAATTGTGGCCAGGAGGTCAGAAGTCTGGGTACTGTATGGACTCCCCACACTGGGGCCTGGTGTCAGCCTGTCTGGCAGTAAGAAGGCGGTCACCTTCACACTTGTGACGGCTGACCGTGTCCCTGGTGTCAAGGGTTAGAGACAGTGCTGCATGGTGGCTGGTGCCAGATAACTGACAAGTGGAGGGAGATCGGATTCATCCTCGTGTTCTGCAGATTGGATTTATGCCGACATTTATCCTTTCCATAATGCTGTCCCTCTCTCGCCCTCAGAAGTTTCCACTACATCCATGCCCCCGCCCACCCTCTGCCCTGCAATCCTAGGCTCACTCCACTAGGGAGCCAAATGGAATCTGAGTGGGGCCTCTCTCCCCAAGAGGACTTTCCTCCTCAGCAGTGTCATCGGCAGTGACAATGTTCCAAGAGGACACACATCAAGGCAAAAGGGATCGTCACATGGCTGTAGATTTCACGGGGCTTCACAAAGTTGGTGGGAAAATGGGATCGAAAGAGAACAGATCTCCCTCCACACTTTAGGAAGCCCCCATTCATATATTTGCCCATGTCCCAATGGCCTAATTCAGCCTCACTCTGGGAGGGACCGAGGGGCCTGCACAGGGCACAGATGCTGCAGACAGCATGCACGGGGCCCCTTGGTAGAAGAACTGGACACAAGACCAGTACTCAGTTCATTCATCAAGTAGATACTGGACTTGTACCCAGTGCCAGCCATGTGACTAGTCTCTGGGGATAGTGGTAAACAAGCCAGGCCATGACTCCTGTTTTCATACAAACGGAGCGTGAGAGACAATGGTCAAGCACATGCAAATGTGCTGAAGGGCCAGAAGACGTTCGGTTGTTAGGGAACTGATAGCAGGGGAAACCAGCCCACTCAGTGAGGAAAGGGTTATCACTTGTGTAAACTGAGACCAGGAGAACGAAGTGGCAGGAGCTCCTGTGGGGCGGGGACCAAGGAAGGGGGCAGGAGAGCATTCCACAGAGAGGAAATGAGAGAAAGGTCCAGGTGCAGATTGTCCACCCCAAAGTTAGCGGGCAGCGAGCACGTCATTTGACAAAAGCACTCCCCAAAATCTTTTCACGGACATATTACTTTCTATTTTATAATGTTTTTTCTTTGTGCATGAGATTACAGACTCCTGTATTCTTTTTAAAGTTGGAGCAAACCAAATGATCACATTTTCATTTTAGATTACGTTGTCCTTGTAATTGTGGGCATGGGCATTAAAACTCACCATCCTTGTGACATGTTACAATCAGTGGAGCTACAGCCCATGTTGGCACCTGACAGGCAGCACCAGGACTTGACCTTCCGGTTCCTGTGCCCAATCCAATCTCCAGAAAACAAATGATGTACACTTGCTATCCTGCGGCGCCTACATGCAGTAGTTTTGAGTCTAGAAACAGCTTATAAAGCCAAATCAGGTCCTGGCAAAACTGCCCTGAAATAGCTCACCAAATGCAGTGCCGGCCTGCAGCAAGACTTGCTTCCAGCCCTGGAACAAATCCCTTCAACGGGCACCAGCTCAAACGATTGGCTCGAGCCGGAGAAAATTAAACAAAACGATCATCCTGCAACACTACAGTCCTGCTTGGGGTGGAAAGATGCTTCCGCTGCAAGGAAGGGTCCCGGGCTGGCTGAGGAATGCAGGGCATCATGCTCTTAAGGGATTTGTTTGTTTCGCTTTAATGCTGTTGTGGGGAAAATGGCCTCAATGTTTGAATCATTTTATCCCTTGCTTCCTGTCACGTAAAACTTGCTCAACTTAAATGTGTTCTTGCGGCGTGCTAGAGATGGTGAGCTGGGATAGGGAAGTAGACATGAGCTGATTTCTGTCCTCAAAATCATTTCCACTGGGGGGGGGGGGG